TCCCACTGGAGAAAAGATGAGAACAGTGCCCTCAAAAATGTCAGAATTTGACTCCCTGATAAAGCCCCTCCATAGCCATGTCAATCTATAAGACAATTGCACAACCAAGCATACTTTGAAAGTGCATCATCAAGATGCATGCTTCTAATCTAATTATATATGTCAGTAAAAATCATTAAGAAAGTCTGGGGGTAACCATTATATCATAGACTTAGTCTGATTCCTGACCATAGCATCTTTGGCAGTTTTACAGAGGTTTGTTGATTATATAGCAATATAAATTAGTTACCTGCTCACTGCTAGATGAAAGAAAACCCAGAGTGGTTTTAAGAAAAAATACCAAATCTCTAGTAATTTGGACAATAGAGCATATTTTTAGACAAGGTTATTTAACCCTTACAGACTTGTAGGGGCTCAGGATACTGTTCTGACTACATATGATTGCAAGCTGAAGAATTGTCTCAAGTGTTTATGTCTGTATTCTTTTTCCATGCTAGGCAGGAACTTTTATCTTATTCTGTCTGCAGATCCTTTAAGTAGAATGAATTTCTTTTCACCACAGCAAAGCAATTCTCTTTTATTACCCCATCTTATTGGTCTATAACCAGTGATTAACCAGCCCCAGCTAGCTGTTTTGTCTGCTAGTTCTCATACCCTTTCCTGTGGAGCACATTTCACAAGATCAGCAGAGGAACAGGTAACAACAACCACGTGCAGTATCAGCTTTTGGAAAGGGAGACTTTGAGGGCTCTTCCTCAGAGCACAAAATGCCAAATGCCAATTGATTTCTCCACTGGCTACACGACTCCATGTTTACTCATTCTCACCTGTCTATTCACAAACGACCAACAAATGTCCCAAGTATTTTAGGCATTCAGTGGTGGCATTAGGATTTGGTGCAAGCTGTATTCCAGGTAGAGCTCAAAGCAGCTCTCATACTAAGAGAGACTCTTGATGACCTCTACAGAAACCAAATTAAGCCTTTCTCTTCCATATAACAGGTGTGTGTACAAACCCTTTTTTGCTTACCCTTTCTATTAGCAGTGTTACTTTTGAATTTCACCCTTACCAAGTTTACAATGTACCCTTTTATTGAAAAATTACTGAAATAAATCTTTGGTTCATCAGGGGCTAAAATACATGTAAGCTGCAGAGTGTGCTGAAGGTAGGGATAGGGAGAGAGAGAAGCAGATTTTTGTGGTTAGAGATCTAGAAGCATCCTTGAGCACCAGGCTGGCTGAGTGGCTGAAGCCAGCATGCTTTGCTGAAGATTGTGTTGGGTTTCACTGGTGCTCACAAGGCACTTACAGAAACTCATGGAAAACTCCATGAGTTTACGCTTGAAGGTTCAATATGCACTAAGCTGTGAGACTGGGCAGAGACTAAACATCCCAAACTACACAAGCTACAAAAATCATTAGCATTTCTGTTCAATTCCTCATGTACAGCAAAGCCTTTATATTTGGTTCTATGACATCCTAACATCATGTGTCATTAGCAATGACAGCTGACAATTAGGATTGTGACCCTTTTCTTTTTATGTGCTGCTTGCCACAGGAACGCCTAGTCCTCAACAAGAATACTTACGATACAAATGTGGGGTGGCTGATGAGAAAGAGAGCACCGTAAGACCTCAGAAAATCCTACAAAGGATGGTCACATTACCATCAGAATAAGAAGGAGTCATTCATCTCTAGCAGTAGCTTGGTCTCAGTACACTGACGAATTTTGAAGCCAGACAGGTCTGCTGCAGCACCCATTTTGCAACCTGTCTCTCCTTACAGTAAGTCATTGCTCCAGTTCACAGAAATGGTACTCATCATATTGCAGAAAGAGCTTGGACACTTGTGTGGGAATGGAATCTAAGCAAGTAAACAGCAATAAAAAGCACATAACTGTAGACTCCACAGAGTAGATCCCAGTAACACTGCAGTTTGTCTGGGAGAAGACTGAAAGGTTTGGTCCCGAGACTAAGTTAGACATGTTTAAAAAGAGCATGTAAGGGCTAAACAAGAGAGGGAAAGTAAATGCCCATTGTAGAAAGATGTACTCGCTCATGGACAGTTCTCTGAGTTCACTGAGACAATAAAATAATTAATCTTCTTCTCTGAGAACTGTACATTAATATTTACTTCTTCAGCAGGTGCAGAATTTCATCCTCACTTAATTTTTTGTGTGTGTGTGAATTGCGATGGAACAGGCAACAGGCTAAAATGTAAGTTCTGTTTGTACAAAGATGCACCTACAGAAATCCTCCGTTTTCCTCTCTAATCTCTCTTTATCTGTGTCTCTGGATTATTTTTCCTTTTTAGTTTGATCTCTCTCCACCGCAATTTGTTACCTTGCACCTTCCAGACAGAACAAGTACTGATGTTAACAATAAAATTCATTGGGAATGAAAAAAATTAAGGACGCTCAGTGGGAGCCAAATTGTTTAATTTTGCATTTTTCTAACTGTCCTATTGCCTGTTTCCACCACTACTGAAAGCTCACAGCACCCTGAAAAATATCTAAGTAATATGAAATTACTATGGCAACACCACAGCATATTCTCTCAGGTGAGAACAGGGTAATAACATCCCATGTTAAACAGACAACTATTACCTGATATCATGATGACTGGGGTAACATGTACTGTTGTCATCCTATAAACTGCTGTGAAGGGCTACCTAATTTGTGCCAGGGCAAACAAAGCATTTTTCTGGTCTGATATGAGAACCTTTACTACTATGACTTGGGGAAAATATACTTTTTCATCATCCTTATAGGCTTTAAAAATTACACTAGGACTAGAAAAAAAAAAGAAAAAAGCAAGGATCCAACATCAATGCTACTATTGATAACCTCATCTCTGCATGTAGGACCAACGCTCGAAGGCGAGAAGCAGGTCTGGAGGATGTTGACTCTAAGAAAACCTTGGGAACACCTTATAAATCCCTGACCCTGAACTCTCAGTATATCGACCCATATTACCTCTGTGTTTGGTACTGCTGTTTCTACAGACTGCGTCCAGTCTTGACATCCAAATTTCACAGCAGATGTTGAAAAATTAGCAGGGACCACTGAAGCAATTAAGAGTGGAAAAGCTCACAGTGGAACAGGTTGAGGTAGTACAGGTTTTCACTGCGGTATAAGTTTTTCCATGAGAGGGAATAACCTATAGAGCTTGGACTACCACAATTATCAAAGACTAGGCTAAGGAAAGACTTGTCCCCAGCTACCTACACTAGGAACAGAAATTTGCCTCCCAGGGGTACTTCATACTAAACATCAAAAGACAACAAAATCAGGCGGCTGAATGATGAAGCTAGACCATGTCAGACTAAAAATTAGATAAAATACCTTTAGAAGAATGGTATTTAATTTCTGGGGCACTTCAAAAAGTTCTGGTGAATTTCCCATCATTGGACTTCTGGACTTGATTGCAAGTTTTCTTGAAGCTAGGCTCTACTTCAAGCCACCTAATTAAACTCTGAAAAATTCTAGGAAATCCTATGCCATTATCACAAAAAACACTTCTAGTTTTGAAAAATATAAGGGCTAGGAATTAAACCGTCGTTAATTGTGATATTTGTTGGTGAAACACCTTAATCCTGTTGTTTTTCTAGTTTTAATTGCAACTGTTTCTTTGATTTCTGTATTTGCACTAAGTATAAAAATGCTATATTTTCCAGCTATAGTGTTTTCTGCAGTGCAAAATAGATGTCAAAAACTGTCTTAAATTGCTACCCGCAAATTTGCTATTAAAACAAAACTTAAAGGAGTGCATTTTTTTATTCCACTAAAGTTTCCACAAATTACAGGAAATACTAGTGCAAGACAGATATATTTAACACAGTCCCATGTGACACAAGTATAAACAAAATCACTAAATCAAATCACTTTTACCACAAGGTTCATTTCTGTCATTATGAACTGGTTTCATTGTCTGAAGAATAGGAAAAAAAGGGTAGTTGGATGTACTTTAGAAGCAAAGGTGACGTATGATATTTTTAGATGAAATAATCCAAAAGCACATACCTGATAAAGTTCAATATCTTTATAATGATATACACAAGAGTATGTGCCTAAAATGTCTCATATGGTGAAATGCAAGCATTTATTGCTTAACCCATTACCCATATTTTACAAAATCAACACAGATTTTGAGCAACTTTGTCTTTACATTAATTTCTACCATTACTCAAACAGCTGTGTCTACACCTTAAGGGTCCAATTCTGGTTCTATTAAAATAAAATTACCATTGGAAGGGAAACAAATTAAACAGGCAATGACACTGTAGGTCTCTGCTCGCACCCAGTGCTTGAGCTGGGTTCCATGTGGTGCTTAATCTTAGAAGGGGCTAAGTTCGGCAGAACCCCCCTCTCAACAGGAACTGACAAGAAATTGCCTTAAGGATAAAAATGAGTCAAATTATAAATGTAATTTAGGATTTTTTGTTATCAGCACAATCACCATCAACATCCTCACCACTAAAAGCAACAGAAACATTGTCACTGTGAACTGTCTCCCAGTTGTGAGACACCAGCACCCTCAATGGTATTGAGAAGGTCCACTTTCTCACTTTGCCTTACTAAACAGATGACTACTCTGTGGACAAAAGTAGAAGATTTAGGACCCAGAATATTATTCAATGTGTCCTAATGAAAAGGATCCTCAGGAAACTTTAAAGTAATCCTGACAAAACCACTGGCTCAATTCAAAGTAAATTATATTCTGGGTAAGTAAAGGCAGCAGATATGGCCCCGGTCAAAATATAAATGCAAAAGAAATATTTACACAAAAGTAAGATACAAGTTGAAAATAAGAAAACAGAAATATTTTTTGTAACGTTAAAAAGTCTTTTGATCAAATGAGCTTAGCAGCTGTTCCAAAGTGGGAAGGGAGGAGCTCAGTAGGGTGGGCATGAGTCCAGTAGACACTTCTTAGCTTTTTAAAAAATTTTCATTGGTGTTAATTTAAAGGAAGTATATTTAAAAAAATACCCAAAACAACTTACCTCATTTAGCTGCAGATTCTGGAGTGGAAATCCTTAACTGACGCAATGGAAAAACTGTCTACAGAACTGTAGGTTGGGTAAACACAAGTACTAGGTTATGTCTCCTAAAGACTCCCAGGAGTGAAGATAAATGGATGTGATATTAATTTTAAAACATTTTGCTGAACACTCAGGTAGCCAATAGGGAAATTCCTTAGCTCACTTCCTGTTCATTTGATTGGGTCTGAAACGACAACAACCAAGATGAGGTTGAGATCATTTACATAAGGCCAGCTCAGCCCTCAGTATTCAAAGAGAACAGGTCTAACCAGGTTACACGCGTGGCTCCAGAACAAAAGAAAAACCTGGTAATGGATGAGGGATTGATTTCTTTGTAGCTGTTTTTTTAAGACCATCCTTTTTTTTTTTCATTTGAGGTTATTTCAGGTAGATAAGGAGATTATAATTAGAATGAGGAGAATTGAAAAGCAGGAGTGTCCTAAATAAAAATTAGTCTGGAAGTAACATTAGGCGACACATGGTATGGAATAAGCCTGTGCTAGCAGGGAGGTGGAATGAGTGAGCCAATATCATGGGCTCAATTCTTTCTTTTCATTCCTTGACTATCCTCTGAAATACATGAATCTGCAGAAAGTGTGTGTGTGTGGGTCTTTTGGTATCCCAGCTTCTCTGGGTATCTGAGAAAAAGTAAAAACAAAATGAGGAAAAAAAATCATTGTATAAAGGGTTGACTATGAAATCTCACCTGCATGAAGGTTAGCAGGGCAGAAATTCAGCAGATGAGTGCTCAGTGTTACATTTCTATGCTCTTAACCTTCCTAAGTCTGAAGGTTAATATCAGCATGGAAAAGCTAAAATTTTTCTTAAGGCACCTGCTCCACAGTCCATGGAAGTCAGGCAAAACCTTTTTGCTTGTTCCTCTGAGCCATGGCCTAAGCGTTGCATTGCACTTCCACCTGTTCAACTTACAACTGGGGTGAAGAGCAAGGAAAGGCTGTTTCCTCGTGGAAGAACTGTGCTTGCAGGACAGTTCTAAGAGCTGTGAGTCCCAAGTTTTCCTTGACCATGTGTGAGTTACCCCTCCAGCTTGCAACCACGAAGCTGAGCAGGAAAAGAGATGCCTAAACGAAAATATGAACTCACATCTGTCTCTCATTATTGCACTAGTCAGAAAAGGCATCTAACATGAAAACAGCAAAAAATGTAGTAAGGTAGGAAGGTTCTCAGGTTGCATTAATTTGTATGTATAAAACACAAGAAGTGCTGAATATTATTTTACAATGACTGTTCGGTAGTCTGTGTGAAGCGAATTTTCCAGTCTTTGTTCACTTTTGGTTCCACAGCTAACCATAAATCTCCCTCACAGTAGATGCTGACAAGCATTCTCAGAGCTAGATTTACCAAGCACATAGAATGAATTGTCCTTCAACATTCAGAGATATTATTAATTATTAATCAAGGCTCATTGTCAGTGTAGGGGAAATATTTCATACATGTTACTTATGCGGAACCTGATTTCAAGATATATAGTGGATCTCAGCTTCCAGGAATGTCACCTTTGTTCCTATCATCCACATTAACACCAACCGCATTAAACCCAAGTTGCTTTTCTTCACACAGACAAAGTGCATCTGTGTACAAGTGTCGGTTGGGAAGATCCCATCATTTTTCACCCAGGTTATATTAAACGTTCATGGCTGCTCACCTTGATTCACACCTATCAAGGAAAGTTGTCCTTGAGGAAAAAGGAAGGTTGTAAATGTCTGCCTTGGAGAGCACTATTACTTGTAGTTACAACAGTGAGTGTTAAGGATGTCACTGAAAACAGCTAGGCAACTGTTTGGAGTTTTCATAAGTAGGTCTATTACCTGTAGTATTTCTCTAAGCATTCATGTCACTAAGTATTTGCATACCCGTTCATGTCTTGGTGAGGATTTATACTAAAGCTTTCACCATCAAAATAACATCTTATCATCATATCAGCATGAATGATCAATCCAGAGCGGGAGAACAGGAAAAAGCTAAGAAGTAAGCAAAGAAGGAGAAAGCAATAAAGAGCACTTCCCTTCCCAGAAGGGACATCTTTAACAAGGAACCCACCTCTGACATTGTCCCACTGAGTTAAACATGGGAGATTGGAGTGACACTGAAATACACATCCATATGCTGCAGAAACACCACAGGAAGATGTGATTTCTGGATCTCAGCGTACCTAGGGAAATCAGTCCTGGAAAACACCTCCTGCTAGAAAGAACACCAGCAAAAGCAGCAGAAGTTTAGTTCACGTACGGCACTTGGACTGGTGTGTCACTTTCTGTTGTGTGGCTGTAAGCCTTTTCTGTCTCAGCTCCCAAGGGCAGAGACAGCTCTGGTTGCTAAGATCCAGAATACTTCCAGACAGACAAAAAAGCACGTTGTACCAACAGGTCTGGGCAAGGTAAGGCTAACTTGGCCAGCACACCAGCATGCATTATTTAGTAGTGTGATATTTTCAAAGCCAGGGTGCCACACAGGGTGGTGGCTCCTTACATTTACTGCCCTGCCTGGCCAGCTATGCTGCCCCGGTGCTCTCAAGTATGCTTATTGACACTTACATGTGGTTCAGCACAGAGAGGATTAGGGGTGCCTTTTGGAGACAACCAGAACTTTCCCTCTGCAGCCACCCTTCTCCAGCACCTCAGCCACAAAATTAACATGATTTTGGTCCCCAGACAATTTTAGGTGGCAGAGAAAACATGAAAACCTCTATAATTAGGAGCTAGGAGGCCACATTCACAGTATGACAGAAGTGTCAGTGCAGATTCCAAGAATTAATTTAATTATAGCCATCGAGCATCAAGGAAATTACCTAAATCTGTCTAGATTCTTAAATTGGCGTCTGTTACTGTAGTGTCTGACACCTGATGAAAACAGAGAACAAATGTATGGTAATTTCTACTTTTCCATTAATATTAATTTCTGCTTAATTTGTTAAATTCCAGTGGAACATCAAAAGGAGAGTGTAAGAAGCTGATATGTAGGTTAGATATGCCAAGAAATCAGAGAACTCAGGGTATGATGGTTCTGCCTTCATTCTGTTGCAGCAAAATCAGAAGTGATTCATAGAGTTTGCTGTAAAATAATACTTTCTATAAAAACATCACTAGAGAAGCCACAAGGAGCAAGACGGATGCTATTTCTAAACTATGTCTGATGTTATAAGAAAGCACTACCTGTAACTAAGGCTGTCCATTTCTCAGGCTTGCAAAAACCTTGTAATTTTTAATTCACAATTTGCCAAATTCTAGACCTTAGCTCTTTGGCTAAATTGAAATTTTCCATCATGGGCATTTACTTTGCAACAAAATTTTGAATAATTGTCATCATCAAGAACCGTTTACAGGGTCATGTAGCAATAGGACAAGGTGTAATGGCTTTAAACTAGAAAATGGTTGATTTAGGTTGGATATTTGGAGAAAGTTCTTCAATATGAGGGTGGTCGATCACTGGCACAGGTTGCCCAGAGAGGTGGTGAAGTCCCCATCCCTGAAGATACTCAGGGTCAGGCTTGATGGGGCTGTGAACAACCTGATCTGGTAACAGTGTCCCTGCTCACTGCAGGGGGGTTGGACTGGATGATCTTTAAAGGGCCCTTCCAACCCAATACATTCTATGATTCTATGGTTCTGTGATCATTAACAGTGTATGTTTTCCCAACAAATCAAAAAACACAAGGGAAACAATGCTCTTCTTTGTATTCATAGTAAAAAATATCCCTGCCTATTCTTTGGAAAGCTCAGGAACATTTATGTTTGAAGCAAGGAATGATTACAACAGGCTATTGAGTTAAGGTATCCTATTTACTATTCCAAATAAAATCCAACCAAAATTAGTCAGTTTAAAGCTCACTGACAAATCATAGTCCACATAATGGATTCCATGATGAAGAGCCACATTCCTTCTGCACTGAGCATTCCCCACTTTCTGGATTCACAGGGCTTTCCCAGAAGCTAACAAAGGCTATTCCTGTGTGTCCACCCTCCTGAAGCAACAGATTTTCCAGTGAGTCCTCCATCTGGCCCAGCAGCTACTCTCAGTGTCACTAGCAGAGGTCTGTACAGAGGATCTAAAGGTTTCATTCATGGGCTTGACCCACAGGATACCCAATGCTGAAGCACCTATCTTTGCAGATCACTTATTCAAAACCTAGAAACCATACACAAGAAACAGCTAGAAGAACATTATTAGCATTGTAACAAGTTCTGAGGTACCGTACTTAAGGCACAGACAGGATGCTACTTTTTCAGAGAGAAGCTAGCCAATACTATGCATTCAGGGAGTGGCCCTGAGCTGTATTTGCTGCACATGAATCAAACTTGCTCTGAAAACTTCTGTTCATTTCCTCATGAGTTTTCTTACAGTATTCATCCTCATGGTATTTGAGGCATTATAGTAACACATTTATTTATAATGTAAATAAGCATTTAATATATGTACATTAGTGTATGACATTATATTAATGCATTAATGCTAATATTACAGTATTAGCACCAAAACATTGATTTATATTTATGCTTCTCTACTGAAGTGAGAAGGTAATAATTTATTATCCTTATTTTAATGGGGAATCCTAAAAAGATCAACATAAATGTCTTTAATAATTCATGGTATCCATTCTTAGATGCCTAAACACCATGTATTTATGTATGTTTTTTATATATATATATATATGTATATGTTAGTTATATAGTTATGTAGCAATGTAAAGTACTGAAAGCACAGCTCCCATTCACTTCCATTTCAGATCTTAGCACATAGCAGTTCTGTAAACTGGACTCCTTTTCTCCCAGAAGAAAAGAAAAAAATGGATTTTTTTTTTAAATATGAACAAATGGTGGCATCAGTCAAGAAAATAGCCTAAGCATTTTGTCTAGATTTTTCCAAACATATTCAACCTCAAGAAAAAGGCCACTATAGCTCTGCTGGTCACTATTTGAATAAATTATGAGCAAAGGTAGTAATGATGAGGAGCTAGGAAACAGTCAGAAGAGACTGTCAGCTTTGCATACAATTCTATGAAGGTTCAATTTCTAAACCGATACTG